CTAGAAAAGATGAGTCTTCCTAAATATTTTCAAGATGACTGGCGTCTATTTATTGATAGCTCAAAGCAAAGTTTGAAATGTGTTCTTCTGCACAATGGAAACAAATTTGGTTTAACACCAATTGCTCACTTAACGAAATTGAAAGAAGAATATAACACCATTGCTTTAATTTTGGAAAAGCTAAAGTATCAGCAACATCAATGGGTGATTTGTGTGGACCTAAAAATGTTTAACTTTCTCCAGGGACAGCAAGCTGGTTACACTAAATATCCTTGCTTTTTATGTCTCTGGGATAGCAGGGAGAAAACACACCACAGGACTAAAAAAGAATGGCCTAAGAGAAAAAGCATGGAAGTTGGGAAAAATAATTTAATTAACAACACCTTAGTTGAATCAAGCTGGGCCTTATGAAGCAGTTTGTAAAGGCTCTTGATAAAAACGGATCGTGTTTTAAATATATAGGGGAGAAGATGCCACAGTTGAGTACAGAAAAAATTTAAGCAGGAGTATTTGATGGTCCGCAAATAAGACAATTTATTAATGACTCTGCCTTCGTGAATTCAATGAATGAAACTGAGCGAAAAGCTTGAACTTCATTTGTTGCAGTTGTCAGAAATTTTCTGGGCAAACGCAAAGATGAAAAATATGTTAAACTGGTTGACGACATGCTTAGCAGTTTCAAATCCCTCGGATGTAGTATGAGTATTAAGGTGCACTATTTACACAGCCATTTAGATCATTTTCCTAAAAACTTAGGAGACATGAATGAGGAGCAAGGTGAAAGATTTCACCAAGATATTAAAACTATGGAGGATCAGTACCAAGGAAGATGGGATATCGGGTGGACACGGAAAAATCCGGTCAACTTTAAATTGAGATTTCTCTAAAACCATAAATGCTTTTTATTTCAATTTTTTTATTATTAAATGTGTTTACATAAATTAGAGTTTTAACTTAATTTTAAGGGGATTGATGGGTCGCTTGGCAAGAAATCGAACTTTATAGCAGGTTGATGCCATCATTTTACAGATTTTTTCTTTTTTCACCATATTGGTGGTATTAATCCACTTTTTTTGGAAGTCCTTTTTATTATTTGTTAGTCCACCTGTCTTACAAAGAACTCCTTTAACTATTGCCCAAAAATCTTTAATTTTGCGCTCTTTAGGATGATTTGGAGGATTCGCATCTTTAGGAACAATTTTCACATTATTATCTTTGCACCACTGTAAAACTTTTTTAGAATAGTGAGAGGCAGCAAGATCAGGCCAAAAGAGACATCGGTATTTGTGTTTTTTTATAAAAGGCAAAATTGTTTTTTTGGAGGCATTCTTTGATGTAGAGATTGGCAGTCAAGGTCTTTTTAGTGACGAAACAAGAGGACTGCATACCACAGCTACAAATTGCTTGCCACAAAAGTAACTTGGATGCAAATTTTTCTCGAATATATTTAAATTGATCATCGACAGGTTTATCTTTGTTTTCATAGTAAAACTGTTGACCAGGAAGTTGTGAAAAATCCGCCTTGCAATACGTTTCGTCGTCTTCAATTATGCACATATTTTTATCCGCCATTATTTTAACCAACTTCTTTGTGCGTCGAATTCCTTTAATTTCACAATTTAAGCATCTTTTAGGTGTATTTTTTTTTATGAAATGCTTTAATTCCAGCATTTTTAAGTACTTTTTTGATATAAGAACGAGAAGTCTTAAATTTTCTTGCTAGATCTCGCTGTGACTGATTTGGATTTCTTGCTATTGAACGTAAAATCGACTTTACCTTTTTGGATTTATGGAAAGTTTTATTTCTTCCACTTCCAAGTTTTCTTTCAAAGCTTTGAGTAGTCTTGAACTTGTTTATAATATCTATGACTGTAGATTTTGGGACATTTGTGCGTTTAGCAATCAAGCGATGGGAAGTCGATGGATTTTTGCAAAAAAAATTCACAACTTTTTTACGCACCTCAACTTGTTTCCAAAACATTTTGCAAATCATTAATTTGTACACAAAAATTTATCAACACAATTTAAGATAAAGAAGTAAGGTTTAATTAAAAAAATTTTTTTTTGAGAAATCTCAATTTAAACATGACCGGATTTTTCGTGTCCACCTGATATGCACATGATGGCGGATTACTGCTGGAATTTAAAAAGAGATTGTTCTAAAATACATTCAAGAATGTCACGGAAAAGAAGTTACTGGGTTGTTTAGTGACTATTGTTTGTTTCATAAATATTTTTTCTTTTGTCTTTACATATAATAACTATATATATAATAGAGTGTAATATACCACATAGTTATACATTTCTATAGCATAATAATCAAAATTTAATCGAAATTTCATGTTTATTTTATTAATTTGATCCCAATCAAAACCCTTTTCAAAAGGATAAAAACCATTTTCATAAAAGGTATAAAAGATTTTTGTTTTTTAGGGTAAAGGAGCCATCGTCCCTCCCCTAACCCTTTTATTGGCGCTTCTTATTTCATTAAAATGATATATCTCAAAAATGCGAGCTGATTGGCAAAATCTAACAGTATATTTGAGTTCAGGGCATCAAACTCATATAAAATTTGCTGCAAATACCCCGGCACCAAAATAGCTGTTAGCCTGTGTAAAAATTCACAAAATAAAATTTTTGCAGATTGTTTGGTCTTTGTTTGGTCTTTGTTTGGTCTTTGTTTGGTCTTTGTTTGGTCTTGTTGCTGTCACTCACTTAACTTATTTGGTAATGCTACTGCTAAATGTAATCCAAAAACCATAATCTACTTTGGAACAATGCAAACAATATACATCTTATTCAGTTCTAACCCTTCATGACATATCTGGCACATGATAGTCAGATTGAGTTGAGGGTGTTAAAAAAATTGTAGCACACCCTCAAGGAGTAAAGATGGCTTTGGAAATCGAGATTCGCAGAGTAATTTCTTATATCAGTACCTATACCTTCATCATTATGTGAATTGTGTGACACAGAAGCGTCTGAGACGCAGTGGTTAGAAGGCTTGCTTTATTAACAGGAGATCCAGGGTTTGAAGCGAGGTCTGGGGATTTTTACGCCATCGGTAAGTGTGAACTTCCTAGATGCTCTTCCGCAGTACTCTCTGACAAGACCGTTAGATCTTCTTGGGGACCTTAAACAAAAAAAGATAACAATAACAACAAAAAAAGAATAATAATTTTAATTGACTTTTGCAACAAAATCATTTAAGCGACTTTAGATATGGAAGCAGGGCCGCACCGAGGAAGGTGGGAAGGGGGGGCGACTTTAATATGAATTTTCTAAATAATCAAAATTGCTTTGACATCTTGTAGTTATAGAAGTTGGAAAGTAAATAAAAGTTGGAATATAAATGACAATTGGAAAGTAATTTATAATGAAGCTAAATTTGCTACATTTAACCTTAATATAGAAATAAAATTATATAGAAACAATATCATATACCAGTTCCACGATAAAAAGTATCAATGAAATGAGTTTGACAGACGAATCTTTTTTGGAATCGTGATTCCAAAAACAAATTTTTTAAGGTATTGGATAGCTTACAGTTTCTTTTAGCGCCACAAAACATATTTCTGAATCTTTTAGCTTTTTTGGAAATACAAAAAAATGTCAGAAGAGGATAAATGTATTTTTACATGTTTTCTATTTAAGAAATCAAAATGAAATAATTCCAAAGAAATTTTTATAAAAATTTCTTTATAATTATTCATAAAAATGAAACAAGACACTCAATAAGTAATCTACTAACATCGCTAAAAAAATCTGACTTCTAAATCACAGGTCGGAGGCCACGCTTTTGGAACTCGGTTCTTGACGAAAATATGATAAAAAAAAAAAAAAAATCTATTGATAGCGGAAGTTGCGGTACAGTGGATCGAGAGGCCCAGTAAATAGGAGACATTTGTTTAAAAGATTAGACTTTTGTTCATATTGATAATGTAATCATTTTATGTGCTCATATATCAGCCATCTTTATTTATAGTTGTTACCGCATTTAGTTAGCTAAAAAAAAAAATTACCAACCAAAAACTACCGGTTTTTGGTTGGTAATTTTTGTTTTTAGCTAACTAAAATAAATTTTCTTACCGTTTTTATGTTTGTTATGGAGATCATGGTTGAAATAATTTCAAAAGCTGAAGTTTTTCATTCGGATTATTATTTATGCTTCCTTTTAGTAGTTTAGCTTTTCTTTTAGCAACACTCATGTCCTAAGAAATTAGACTTAAACTTAATTAAACTTCTTCTCAATTTTTAAAATTTCAAATTTTTTAATTTTATTCTTATTTAATTTAGTTTACCAAAAGTATACTGTACAGTGTCTTTATACCCTAAGCCTCAAAGTTATTTGGCTATGCTTCTATTCACTATCATTAATCCACGGCAGTGTTGATTTATTCACTGTGCCCAAGTACAGGGACACAGTGAATAAAATAACACAACTCACTTTAAACCTTTTTGTGAGCCGTTAGATATATTTGGGTTTAGTGATTTATTAAATATACATATTTTAACTAATGCTCAATTTATTAATAAAGAAAATATATATATATATATATATATATATATATATATATATATATATATATATATATATATATATATATATATATATATATATATATATATATGATATATATATATTATATATATATATATATATATATATATATATATATATATATATATATATATATATATATATATATATATGTATATATATATATATATATATATATATATATATATATATATATATATGTATATAAATATATAAATATATATATATATATATATATATATATATATATATATATATATATATATATATATATATATATATATATATATATATATATATATGTATATATATATGTATATATATATATATATATATATATATATATATATATATATATATGTATATATATATATATATATATATATATATATATATATATATATATATATATTTCACCTCAAGACATTGCGCAGAATTTGATTAAATCAGTTAAACCATTTTTTAAATAATATACATTTTTTTATAATACACATTTATTTATAATATAAATTTATTTACAATATTTATTTGCAAATTTTTAAAATGCTATATGGTGGTGCTGTAGCTGATTGATCAAACACATGGTGAAACATAACAATATCAAATGGTCGAAATGAGTAACTTTTACTTCTATACAAGTAAATGTTCTTTTTAGTAATGAAACTATAATCTGAGTTGATCACTCCAAGGTAAAGTTGCTCGTCAGACAGCCAGATCATTACCCTATCGTTTGCTGCCACATCTTGTCGTCCGATTCCACCAGTAACAGAACTGTCACTCAATAGAATATGCGGATTGGTTACTGGGTAGGAGGATTCTATAATTTAAAAATATATTTTAAAATAAACTCACATTTTTGTGACTAATATTATTTGTTTTGTTCTTTTCAAAAAACAAACAAAAATAAAAACTTAAAAAAAATAACAAAACTTAAAGGATAAAACAAAAAAAATTACCTGTCATATTAACATCAATCATTCGGACTTCGCTACCTTGCCGATATAAAAGTTTTCCCCGTACTTCATCGATTGTTACCGAACTTATATAAACGTTTTTTGCGAAAACCAAGGTTTCAATTTTGCTTTGAACGTTTGGATTTAGTCGAAAAATACCACTATCATTATTAAAATAAAGCAACCCTTGGTAAAAATATATATTATTCAATGCTGACTGTTTGACCACAATTTTGACTTCATTTTTAACTTCTAAATCGAATTGCAGTATTTCGTTATATGTCGAAACATAGAGTTTATTGTTAAATCCATCGACTTGTATTCCTGTGATTCCTGAACTTAATGTAGCAAATAATATTTCCTTGTGATCTGCAGAAGGGTTTATAAGCAATTCACCTTTTCCAGAAATTTTTCGGTTGCCGTTTTCATCAACTAAATGTATTCTGTAGAGTTTTTTTTCGTAGGCGTAAAATATAAGGTCTTCTTTGTAGTGTGGCGCAAGATATATTCTGTCGTAATGACTAACTGTTATCTCCTTGATTTTGAAAACCGATGAAGTCTTCCAAATTGAGATTTTGCTACTCTCTGCATACATAAAAAGTAAATCGCCATTGACGATTGCAACGAATGTCATCAAAAGAAGTTTAAGTAAGTAGTGCGCCATCTTTAGAAAGTTCTGGTTTAAAGTGTTAAAATGTTTTGAAGTGTCAAAAGTATCTCCATTTTTATGGAAAATATTTGTTTACAAACAACGTAATCTATTTAACTTAAAATATTGAAACTGGTTTTTCCAATATTTAAAATTTAAATATTGAAACAACCAGTTAGGGTGATTAAATAAATGTTAGTTGTGTAAGAACTTATTCATACTTATATCATTAAGAGGTGATGTAACTAAACAAGTGCATACGTAATTTACGAAAAATAATCAAAACCTGTCATAATTTGCAAAAAAAATTTACGGTTTTTTAAAAAATCAGAATTGTGTTTAAAAATAATTTTATGCTTTTTTTTTTTTTTTAATAATCACGAAGATAATTTGTAAGGCCCTAACCCTGACCATAAGTAGAGTTTTAAAGTATTTTGTTATTATTTAGACATTTCGTAATTTTTTCAACCCAGATAATGCCATATGATGTCATTGACTAAAAATAACAATGTATTTCATTATTTAAACATTTCAAAACAAATGATGTCATATGACGTCATTAACTGTAAATAGCAATTTCATTTTGTATTCTATTTAACCCAAATGATGCCAGATGACGTCATTGACTTTAGGTAGCTAAGGAAAGCAATATGCTAACTATGTGAAGATGCTCAGTTATTTGACGTAATTTTTTACTTCTGATCAGAATTCAGCAGAATATTTCGGTTTTATAAATGCAAAGTAGTGGTAAGTTATTTATAGAAATAAAGACATTACACCACAATTATAAAACTTGTCATTGGTTAGTCTTCACCTAAGTTATATTCCTAACAACATTGTTAAAATTAATGGAGTTTCTATATATCTTTAAAATAAATTAAAACATCTGGGTTTCCAATGGGATAACGATACCAGCAAAAATAAATTTGCAACACTCCGAAAGAAAAATTTAAATGAGCGTATAACTCAGTTTCAATCAGTTACAAAAGCTCTAAGTGACAGACAATTCGTTACTGCCAGCCATCAACAATTGTTCATCTGTACAATACATTAACAGTGCCGAAGCTTATATATGGTCTTGAACTATGTAAATATGATACTAATTTTCTCAGCAAATTTTCTATCTATTCTCCTTAGGAACAAAGTTAATCTTTTTATCAGGCTGCTGAAAAATCAAACTTGTTACTCACTGATAATTAATCAAATACAGGAAACACAGAATAAAAAATCCTTTACAAACGAAGTATTTGATGCATGCAACACACTTGATTTAAATTTCATACAGTGCATGTTAAATTGCAAAAAAATTAAATTGACGCAATCGTAGATCTACAAACTAATGTTATGCTAATATTGAAAGAAACGTTCCAGTTTTGGTGATTCAGTTCACCAATCAAGTACAAAACTTGACATTGGATTCATCACAGCAGAAGTTCCTTTTCAATCAGAGAGAAACAACTTTGTTACCAGAGGTTATATTGAATATCCTTTAAAATTGCCAAAACATGATAATAATCAAAAATTTACAGAAGGGATAATAAAGTTTAGAAACATTAATGCAGAACAGCGTACCCGAGAGATGTAGATTCTGCAACAGATTCATTACATGTTGAGCAAACAACATTTGTTTAACGTTCCCTAGTTTGCTATGAATCGCGATATGATACTAGATTAGGTTTTTGAAATTTGTAGATTGTAGTGATAAAAATTGTTTTTAAATTGAATGATTTCAAAAATGTTAGAGAGTAATGCTATTCTACTTGCTGATTGTAGAGCTCAAAGTTATGACATTTCGTCAAATATGTCCATTTAAAGGTGAGCTACAAACCATTTGTAGCTCACCTTCCAGAAGTAAAGCTGGCTTTGGAAGACTTGCTCAGGCTAAATATTACTTCAAAAACTAGAAAGAAGATTCGTGGAGCAATTTGTTATATCAGTACCCTTACCTGCATCAAAATGTCAGTTGTGTGGCACAGAACATTATTTTCTATCATTTGCAACAAAGTCATTCAAACCAGTAACGCGATTTTAGATATGGAAATTTCAAATATAGAAAGCTTACTTTCACAATTAGTAGCTATTCGTGACAGTTGGGAAGCAATGCAGAATGAAGCAAAGCTTGTTGCATCTAGTCTTGATATGTAAATGAAAATGTTTAGGAACGGTAGCAGAAAACACTTCCACAATAAAAATGCGAGTAAAATGAGTGAGACAGGCAAATCTTCCTTGGAATCTCAATTTCCGAAAATTTTTAATATAGTGCTGGATAATGTTATAGGAGGACTTACAGTTTGTTTTAGCGCCACAAAACAGATTTCTGAAAATTTCAGTTAGCGAAGACTTTGTGCATGAAATAAAACACATAACAATGATTCAAAAATCCAATTTCAGGAAAAAAGATTTTGATGCACTGGAAATATTAAATGATTTGGCAGAGTGCGAACTCTGGAGTTCAAAGTATATTTCAAAATCTCAGAGTCAGTTTGATGATAATTCTTCAGCACCAGCAATAGTAGCATCTGCAGAAAGGATCTTCAGCAATCTTAAACTTATTAAAAAATATCTCAGGCCTACCATGATTTAGAGTTGCCTTAAAGACCTGGCTAGGCTAAGCGTTGAGTCTAACAATGCAAAACATATAAACTTTGATACCGTAATACGTAATTTTCAAAAGAAAAAGGCACGCAAAGCAACCTTGCTTTTAAAAAAGTGTTCTATTTAACAACATTTCTATCGTTTATAGATCTTCTATAGACTCTTCTGTGTAATTAAATTTGAAATTTTTTTTTTAAATCTTTTTATTTATATTATTATACATATATAAATGTATATATATATATATATATATATATATATATATATATATAATATATATATATATATATATATATATATATATATATATTTATATATATATATATATATATATATATATATATATATATATATATATATATATATATATATATATATATATATATATATATATATATATATATATATATATACACATGCCCAATGGGTTGCCATATATAACATATAAAGTAAGAAATGATAAATAACTTGCTAATATGTTAAACAAAAATTGTAAATATCTAATAGAAATATATTTTTTAGTTGTATTACTACGTTTTTTTATTATTGGAAAGTATTTTGTTTATAAAGAATATTTTTTTTTAAGTTAATTAAAGTGTTTATAAAATTTAAATGTTTAAAATTTAGAAAAATTATTTTTACATCAGATATTTGATATTCTTTGAAATATCTTCTAATAGTAAATAGATATATGTAAATATATCTATTCAATAGTAAATAAAATAAATGTAACTGCGTAATATTTTACCTAATATTTACCAACCACAGCCTGTCGAATAAGTATTAACTTGATTGGCTTCAAGGTTGCTAGATCTAAAAAAAAACTGAGATTTCATTTAAAAAAAAATCTGAGGATTTCATTTTGGAGCATTAAAAATTTTTTTTGTTAAAAAATCTTAAACTTTTTTTTGACATTGTGTTTAGGTGATATAGTAATTTTTAAGAAAATGTTTCATGGCAAAATTAATAATATATTTTCTTAATAACGGTTACGTCAGCTATTTAAATTTGTTACATTAAATGACAAGTTATATTGTCGTTAACTCTTTTTTTAAAACTTGTTAAAAAAATATAAGTTTAAAATAATTAAATAGTCATTCAGCGTCATGCCTTAAAGGGTTAAAGAAAGCTAACAAGGATTAAAAAATAAAATGTTTATTAGGATAAAATACGTTAGTATCGTCAACAAATAAAATGGAATTTAAGATACTTAAAAATTTGCTCAGGTCATTTAAATAAACTAAAGAAGGAACGCATTATTATTATTATTATTATTATTTTATATAGCGCGTTTAAAGCTTGTTGTAAACCTTAAACCGTTGAGTGATTTTTAAAGAAAAAGTTTTTATGTAACATCTTCAACCCTCCCATTAAGAACCTCTACATATACTATCTTAGACCTTCTAATTAATGACCCCTCCCCCTTACATTAATTTAAAAGGTGAGAAAGTTATTTTAATCAAAAGTAATCAAGATTTTATTTCAAGATGAGCATTTACCCAAATAATAAAATCAGTTACCCAAATATCACTTATTAGGAAAGAGGAACTCGTTTTTTCAAGATATATAAATAGAATAAAAATAAATAGAAATAGAAATTTTTATATATATTGTTATCATTGCTATACATACAATTCCCCATGGACAATTATATAAGATATGCTCTTTTCGTATTGATTTTGTATTTCGATTGTAAAACATTACAATTTCCTTGCAAGCCTCATGTGGTTCTTTCGATGTCAAGATGCGGCTCTTTAGCTCCATTCACAAATATTAACTTTTATTCACTTTTTTTTTCAGAGTAACCATTTGTATAAATAGTTACATTCATTTGAAATATGTTCACTATTCAAAACTTGAATTTTGGAATTATTTTATAATTGCTTAAAAAACTGTATCTTTAGACTCAATTATAAATTTAATTCAAAACTTGATAAAATTCGAAACTCAAGCTTGATAAAATTCGAAACTCAAATTTGACCTCGAATTCTGAATTTAGTAGAATTTTTTAAAGTCGAATTCAAAATTCGTCCGAGCTCAAAGTCTTTTTGTTAAAGTAGAAAAAGTTAAAGTTTTTGTTTTTGTTAAATTAACTATCAAGTATCATAGTTTCTGTTAAAGTGGTTTTTTTACGTTTTTCTTTTTTTCCATGAAATATTTTGAAATATTATATGTTCAAATGTGTTGTATTTATGAATAAAAGTATAACGAGTCTTCAAAACTTGATTTTTTGTTGTTGTTTTTTTTCCGAATGTTTTATCTTTATTATTTTTAAATTTTTGTTGAAAGGGCTATTTTTTGATATTTTTGCATTCAATTACTTAAAATGAACTGTACTAAACATTATGAAATTTCACCAATATTATGGAACAGTAATTTTTACTTTCAACGTAATTTTCACAATTTTTTTTAACAGGAAGCTTTTTTAAATGAAGTTTTTTTTTTTATTTTTTGAAAAAATTGTATTTTGT